AATGAGAAAATATTTATTTATATTTAAAAAATTTAACAACAATTTTTTGGAACACTCAAACTTTAAATTTGGATAAATAATTTAGTTTTATTAATTAATTTATTATTTCAAATACATCCTTTAAATGTATCAAACGTTTACACATGTGCTTTTTGTGATAACAATCATGTATGTTTTTTACTTAAATTCTTTAAAATTGAAAATCATACATTTTTGAAACGTTTTTTTAATATTTTTATTCATTTTATTATTTTTTATAAAATATAAAATATTTTCTATTTTTATTTAAAAAAAATAAATTTCAAAAAATTCACATATTCCCAATTTAGAGGATTAATTCTCTCTCTGTTTTTTTTTATGTACAATAATTACCTGAAGTTTGATATTTTAAATAACTCATTTAAATTTTGCTAAACTTAAATAAGGCTAACACTTTCATTGTAATTTTTAAAAATTAAATATTTTTAGCTAATTCAACCACCGCGATTAAGTCATATTTATTTATGAATCTTTTACTGGAACATCTTTTGACAAGCACCTTTTTTTGTTGAAACATTGACTTGGCTCCATGGTTATGTCGAGATTGACTCGCCCACTTGATCTTTAATGCTATGTTGGACTTTTTTGGTCCATCTTAGATTTTTTTTTTTAATTCAGACTTGGAATATCGTTTCACAATAGAATCAAAAACCATCAAATTACACGCAAACTAAATGCTCTTACCAGAAGGAGAGGGACCAGAGCTCTAAAAACAAAACTAGGAATAATGAAGACCTTTTTTTTTTCATTTTTGAAAAAACATAACTTTTCAATCATACATTTTACTCATATTTTGCTTTAAATTTTCACATTTTTTTTAATATTCTGATCTCTTCATTTTCATTTTCATTTGTTGATGTTCTAGATCTCTAAATAAATAAAGTTTACAAACTTTAAAAAGACTTATAACACTAAAAAATGAAAGCACAAGGACCAGAATATAAAAAAAAATGTAAGGACCTATAATAAAATATGAGTAAAATGTAAAGATCAAAAATTATGTCTTGTCTTTATCTTTTATGCTATGTTGGAGTATACGTTTTCAACTATAAACTAATTAGTAATTATTCTTGGCCCCGCAAGCTTAGTGTTTAGTAAGTATTAATTATTAAATCAATATATTATATAAAATTAAAATAATATACTTCTATTTATTTTATCATTTATTATTAATCTATTTGGCATCAGTAATATCAAATTTAAACATTTATCAATTTAAAATTTTTAATAAAAATATTTCAAAATTTTCAGAAAAAGTTACGGCATGAGTTAGAAATGAGCTTGTAAGATTTATCAACCAATGAACACATGTTATTTATGTCAATTGAGTATCTATATTGAAGTACTATATTTTTTTAACCTTCAGTATTGATGAATTTTATTAGAAATCTGTAAAAAGAGAAAACTAATAAAATAGAATTAGACTCAATCAGTTGGTGAACTTATGATGCAATAATTACACGAAGTATCTCCATGAAAGTTCAATTTTTATTTTTTTCCCCAACAGAAAAAGTTCAATTCTTGATATTGCCATGAATGCGTGGATTTCTTCTTGTTGGTAAAGGATGGATTAAAAAAGTTAAAAAGGAAAGAAAAGAAAAGAATTAGACTCATTTATTTACAATTTATATTTATTTACTATTTATAATTATAATATATAATCTCTCCGTTTAAACATGTAAAGTATTTTTAATTGAATCCCACCTCCAATAAAGTAGTTATCTACTTTTAAATTAACTCTATCTTTTATATTTATCTCTATTAAACACCTTATAATAAATATAAAGTCACTATTAATATGGGTACTTTTGAAAAAAATAATGATTACATCTCAAAAGATTAAAAATATTTTATATTTTTTTAAAGTCTAACTCCTTAAAAAATATCTTATATTTTTTAATGAAGGAAGTAACATACTTCAATTGTGAACAAATGAAATAATATGTTAAATTAATAACAAATATCAGATTAAGAAGCCGTACTATTTACAGTGACAATGCTTTTTAGTAGAATTATATTCCTCAATAATCTCTAAATTAATATCATTTTTTATATTTATTTTTGTTTGACATGATATTTTATTTAAAGATGAATGGTTGAGAATGAGAAGTTGCCTCAGTGGCGACACCACCTCCATGCAGGTGTGAGTCCAAGATTTGAATCCTACTTTGACATTTGAGTATGTGGGTTGTGTGTTTAAATTGATTACTTAAAAAAAACAGAGAGTAATTTATTTATTAAGGTTACTTAAAAAAACTTATTAATTCTATATTGAAAAAATAAAATATTAAATATTTATTTATTATCAAACCTCAAGGAAAATATTTTTTTAACAGAGTAAAAAAATACTTTATATTTTTTAAGAGAGGAAATAACATTTTTTTAATAGTTAACTTTTTTTAAAAAAAAAAAAGTTCCCTGCTTATGTTAACCATTAAGAGAGAAGTAATATTGCACCAATTTAAAAAATTATATGCATAACATTAACCATTGATGAATTTATTATAATTTTAAACACAAGATTATTAATTTCTTTATCTTTCTTATTTTATATTTTTAAAAATTATATAATAAAAATATTTTTAATGCAAATGATTAAAAGAGATATTTTAAGACAACCAATATACATTTTTATCAAATAACTAAATTATTTAACTTATTTAATTGATGTGAATGGATTAATTTACCAATTGAATTTACCTCAAAAGCTATGATCGTATCTAGATCCTCTCATTTTCCTTTATTTTCTTTTCTTTTTTTTTTCCTCATCATATGTCATACTTGGATTAAAAATTTAACCATTGAAATTAATGCTTTACAAAACTATTTTAATAAAAATAAAAAAATAAAATAAATAGATCTAAACTAGTAAAATATAATCTAAACAGTTCAAAAATATAAACTAACTATAAATTATAATTAAAAGACATAATTACATTTAATTAAATATCAACAGTTGACAAGAAAATGAGAAAATATGACGAGTGGTTCCCAGTCCATAATCCAGACGCTACACAGGATCTGTTTGTTCAGCTGGGTGTGGGACCCACTATGTCAAGCTATCGGCGCCTGATAGGCCTTCCAGAATCCAGACGGTCTGGCAGGCCCTTGAAATGACGACGTCGTTTAGCGGCACCGCTTCGTTCCTCTTTTCGAAAAAACGGAGCGCTATTTTGTCTTCTCAGGCGGTTTAAAATAATAATGCATTTCACGTGCCTCCATTATCAGAAGTGTCGGGCCTTCCGTTATTAGCCTTTCCGGGATCACTTTCAGATTTTCCAAATCTCACTCACCCACTCATTTATTTTTTCTTAATTTTAACTCCACAATATAATAATTCTTTGCTAACTTGAAAATTTATAAAGCATTCCATGCTTGTTGCTCACAAAAAGAATTTTTATGCTGCATCATACTAAAAAATAAAAACTACACCGACTTTTAAATTTTAATTATATTATATTTAAACTGTTAAACTTTTACTAACACATGAATTTACTAATTTGTTTTTATATGATTTAAAAATAAAAAACTAAATTATTTCGATGTTATTTATTTTTGGCCAATTAACTTGACTTTAGTTTTTTTTTTGGATGCAGGAATGGAAAAGGTTAGAGACCAAAACAAAAGTACAACTAAAAAAGTAAAGTAGACTTTAGTTTTAATCTAACCAAATCTCATTCTTAATAAAATAGTTGTCTATTTTTAAATTAATTTTATAGTTTTATATTTATTCTTAATAAATACCCTATAATAAATATAAAGTCATTATTAATATGTATACTTTAAAAAAATAATGATAATACCTTAAAAGATTAAAAATGCCTTATTTTTAACATCTAACTCCTTAAAAAATGCCTTATATTTATAAACGGATGGAGTATTTTTGTGACATTCATACATTGTAAAGAATTTTATTAATAACATAAAATAGAATACATATGGAATGTAATTTTTTGGACAGCAAATATGGAATGAATTTTTAATCAAAAAATATAAGTATAATTTAATCAAATCTAAAAGACTAATTTAATTTAATTCTACTTTTGTTATCCAGTGTTTGGAAACTATACATGAAACATACTTTATTTTGAGTTGAGCCAATGTGCTTAAAAACAAGTTGATAAATCAACCGATGTATGTAGGGGTGAGCAACCAGTCGGTTCGATTTTAATTTTTTTAAAATCAATTGATCGAATTACACAAAAAGCTTGATCAAATCGAATCAAAATACTTGATTAAATTGAATTAAAATCAAATAAAATTATAATAGTTCAATTCGATCGGTCTATTCAATTCATGAACTTTCATTTAGGTTTATGGAGTCTAATTGTTCATACATTTATTTATTCATTTTTTTCTTTGATGTTGAAAGCTCAACAAAAAAATAACGATCATATACCATAATTCATAAAAAAATTAATAAAACTCAATACTATTGTATTAAAAATTAAATTATAAAAATAAAAAAAATAGAACATCACATTAAACAAAAAAATATTATTACTGCAAATAATAAAAAAATATTTCTTACTCACCTAAATAAGAATATATTCACATTTTCAAAAAATATGAAAAGAAAAATTTATATAATTTAATCTATTTGGTTTATTTGTTTTAATAATTTTTAAATCAAATTAAACCAATCGACAAAAATTTTTATTAAAAAAATTGAATCAAACTGTATAACTGAATAAACTAAATTAAATTGATCAAATTTAATTCAATTCAATTTTGCTCACTTCTAAGTATACGTGTAGTTTAGAATTAATAATCAAAATCATAATTAAATTACAGGAAAATTAGATATGAACAAAACATTCTATTGAAAAAATCAAAATTTATATTATATTTATTATTTATAAATTTAAATGAAAACTGACTTTCCTTCCAGGAAGAGAAATTTCGTGCTCTTCGAGAACGACTCGGTTGAGGATAAGAAACGAAACTGCAAAAACAGAATCATACCCCATTTGCCTCTCTTTTTCTCTCTCTAACGTCCCCCTTACTCGTCGTTGTCTCTTGCCCTCTCTCTGCTTCTTTCTCTGTCTCTGGCGGTGCCATTCCAAACGCTTCAAATAGAAGCAAGCACACGCAGTAATGGTCACGTACTTGCCTTCTCATTCCCTTTCCTTCTCTCCATTCTCTCACCTTTAGTACGATTCCTCACTTTCTGGCAAGTCCGTTCGGAAGTTTCTGCCATCGCGATTATGGAATCCGAAGATGAGCTTCAGATGCTCCGATGCTCCGTCAAGAACTACGATTGGGGCCGACCAGTTGGAGACTCTCAAGTTGCCAGGCTTTTCTCTCTGAATTCCGGATCTGAACAAGAACCCGGCAAGCCTTACGCCGAGTTTTGGATGGGTACGCATGACTCTGGGCCGTCTTTCCTGCTCTCAGGTGATGAAAATGAAAGCCTCAAGTCGTGGCTGTCCAGGAATCCTCTAGTGCTTGGGGAGAAGGTTCTTGAAAAGTGGGGCTGTGATCTTCCTTTCTTGTTCAAGGTATGATAATTCCAATTCAAGGTCTAGAATCTTAAGAGGTGATGTGCAAGAATGGTATTGAATTGTGAACTAATTGTGGTTCTTTGTGTATTAGGTACTCTCGGTGGCAAAGGCGTTATCCATACAGGCTCATCCTGATAAAGAGTTAGCCAGAACTTTGCATAAATTGCATCCTGATGTGTACAAGGACGGGAATCACAAACCTGAGATGGCTTTGGCAATTACAGAGTTTGAAGCTCTGTGCGGGTTTGTCTCTCTGGAGGTATATTCACTGTATTCCGCGAAATTTTTATTTAAAACCGATTTGTTATTTGGTGACACTGTCATGAACAATTCTTTTCATTTTCTGTCTGTGGGAGAATTTTGATGTCTTATGTTTGATTCTTGATTAGTGAGTCGGAATACCTCGAATAGTAAGAAGTATTGTTTTCATGGTGATTGGAAAATTACAGTCGAATTGGATTTATTAAGAAATTAGCATTTATTATTCTGTTTTTTTCCCCCATGATTAGTCATCTATTTTTAAATTCGGTAGTTTTGCACTTCAGTTTTTGGCGAAAGAATTGTCTTCGTTCGGTAGATTTCCGTAACGATGTGACAGAAGATTTTTCATAAAGTTTTTAAGAAAATAACAGTTTTCATAAATTACAGTTGACTCGAACAAATAAAATTAGAAAATTAAGAAAAAAATTAAAATATATTAAAATAATATGAATTTTAAATTATTTTAAATTAATTAATTAATTAATCAAATTTTAATTTGGATTATTCTGTAATTTTCACAGTCAATTTAAACTTAACAATAGTTGAAAAGTTAATCTCGTAACCCCTTGTTCGCAGGATTTTATCTGACGGTCCCAGTGATGGCCAATCAATGATATGAAATGAATCAAGTGAATAGATCGATTATACTCTTTTATAATATACTGTAACAATAGCGTTGGTTGCTTGCCTTGAAACTGTAGATCTTAGTGTAAGGCCGCCCAACTTATATTTTACTGTTTTCTTTTATATATATATAATTTCATAATTAAATTAATTTTAAGTATTGTTAGGTTCAGTTAAAGACAACTTTTTCAAAGATTTTTTCTGTATTCACACAAATTTAAATTCAAGATCTCATATTTTAACAATCACAATTTCTTCTACTAGGATCAACGTTGGTCGGTTTTTGCTGGTTTTTTTTTTTTAATTCTTTAGTCTCGCCAAGATTAGCTTGGCGGCTATTATAATAATCACTATATTTTAAAAAACTCTAACTCGCTTTGTATGTACAAATAAAATGGTGAGATCAGCATCCAAGACAACCTTTTCTAATTCAGTACAAAGATTAAACTCATACATCTCATACGGTCAAAAGAAAAAAAAAAAAAAAAACTCATACATCTGATATTTTGGGTTATTTGGTGGCTTTTGATGTGGCTCATTAGCAAAATTTTGCCTTAATTCTTGTGGAGAAGGAGATTCAAGATACATTCTAAGCTACTATTGATTGCTATTAAGAGCCAAAACCTTCGTTTACAATCTGACTGTAGTTTGACATGTTGAGTTTATCACTTTCCAACATTGTTATCTCTTTCACAACTGGAGGCGTAGATACTTCTGTTGTTCTTTCAATATTCATCCTCCTCAAGCTCATAGTCAAGTTTTTTAGAAATCCGTTTATTTTCAGTTGATAAATGATTCCGGAAGTTGACATACATCACGCTGTTCATGAAGCACCATTATCAAACACTGCTAGAAAAAAATTTGCTTCAAACATTAATAAAACTCAAGCTCCGTTAAATTTTCTGCTCCAATTTAATTTTCCGTCATATATGCCGCAACCATAGTGTTGGTTCCAGGAGATTTTCAAAAAGTGAAGCCACTGCCTTTTGTTTTCTTGTTTTCTCTTTCTCCTTTTTGTAAATTAGATTTTATTTCTTTAATTATTTTGAAAGCGTGGAAAGTCCTATTCCCCTGGAATATCGGCATAGGCGCATAAAATGTTTCTACTAAATTATGATTCAAAGAGTTGCGATATATTCATGGCTTCATATTTGTGTAACTTGGAGAGTTTCCATGATGTCTTGTTGGGGCTAGAGCTTGCCTTTTGGTAGATGCTCATAAATATTTTGCTGTCTTTATAGTGCATTGTTGTAAATTTATTAATTTACTTGATCAGGAGCTGAAGGTTGTGCTTCGTACTGTACCTGAGGTTATGGGACTGGTTGGCTTTGGACATGCATTACCAGTCTTTGGACTCACTAACCAAGATAAAGAAGAGACTATAAAACGTGAATTGGCAGCAGTGTTTACCCGGCTTATGTTTGCAGATAAAAATGGAGTCACTGAATCAGTAGGCAAACTGATAAGTCGTCTGACTAAGGAGACTCAGGTTGGGTGATTACTTTTCCTATGATTATATCTGTAACAAAATTTTCGCTCACGTTTAAATTTATTTTTCTCCCTGTTACGTTTCCCCACTTTGAAAGAAATTACGTTATGCAGAACTGTGCGTAATATGTTACAGATTGATGATCTCCTTGGACAATCAAAACAAATTGCCGCCATGTTAGCTTCAATGTTGATTACAATTGCCTTTAATATCCCCCATCATTCCATTCTTTTCCATTACCTCCTTTTCCAGGAACCAAAAGCAATGTATGATAACAATTTCACTTTTAAACAGGTGAGGGAGTTGACAGATAAGGAGGCACTGGCGCTGAGGTTAGAAAAGCAGTATCCTGGTGATATTGGTGTCATAGCATCCTTCTTACTGAACTACGTGAAACTCAATCCTGGTGAAGCCCTGTGCCTTGGGCCAAATGAGCCACATGCATATATAAGTGGTGAATGCATCGAATGCATGGCAACTTCGGACAATGTCGTCCGAGCTGGCCTTACTCCTAAACAGAGAGATGTCCAGACTCTTTGTTTCATGCTCACATACAAACAGGTAAATGATATCTTGAGGCTGACAGCCTTACACTTGATAACTTGATGGATGTTCTAGCATGTGGAGATTGCCATTGGCGGAAAATGACCGTAAAAACACTTACATTTAGAAGACTAATAAGTTGTAACTTAAAGTACAGAGTAATAAATTTAGGAAGTCCCAATGTTAACTTGTTTCTATAATTCCTAAAGAAATTTTGGTTAGTTGTGTCATTCATATACGTTACCAGTCCTTAACAGAGGGTAGGGGCTTGTTATTGGTTATCAAGATAGAATAGAACAATGGGAAAATGATGTTAGTGTCAAACCATTGATTTCATTCTAGCTTTTAAATTTATCATGCACGGCAATCATGTGATAGGTTTGACTTTTTGAGGGATGAATTAATCAGAAACCATATTCTGTTGCAGGGCCCACCTGAGATCCTGAGAGGACTCCCCATAAATCCGTATGTAACCAAGTACCTCCCACCATTTGATGAATTTGAGATTGATCGCTGTATTCTCCCTCAGGGTGAATCAGTGACCTTCCCAGCAGTCCCAGGTCCTTCCATCTTCCTGGTCGTGGATGGGGAAGCAATTATAAAAGTTGGAGGATCAGTCAGAGTGCATATTGTCGCTGAAGGAGATGTTTTCTTTGCTGCTGCAAACACACAAGTCAATATAACTAAATCATCGGACTTGATTCTGTTTAGGGCTGGGGTCAACTCTAGATTCTTTCAAGCATCCCAAGATTAAGAAAGCCTTCTGTTAGCTCAGTATTAGAGTGTACTGGTCAATGCTCTGTGATCACATCACACCATAGTAGTGCAGTATATTGGGAAAGAATGCAATTGTTCTTAGATTCCAATAAAAGATAGCATAGCCAATGTTTTGATGTATACTTTCATTGAACTTCTTGTTTCAGAATTTTTCTGAAAGGTGTTGGATTGACATGTTCTAGTTATGTTTATAAAATCATGAGCATTAATGTAATACAACGTGAGACTCTGTCGGACACTTGATTGAATAACTTTAAAGGAGAAGAGAGGGAAGGGAAGCCACTTTATGAACAAGGATCAGATCAAAATATTGCATGCCACATACACCAGCACTTGCATGTATACATCACTTACCGTAATTTACAAATTTTAATGGACCAAGTCCTGTAGGAAAATACAAAAGACCCACTTTCACTCTACATCTTTCCACTTTTTCTTTCCCTCGACCATTATATGCAATTTATTTACTCCACATTTGAAATTTTTTCAAGATAACGAGGAAAGCATAAACATTAAGAATTTTTGCTTATCTTCCAATGGCTACAAAGAGAGAAATATTGATGTCTTAAGACTTATGAATAACACAACATACTACCAAATCAGAGCAGTTTGTAAAACCGAAATTGCCAAGACCACCCAGCAAAAGGTAGCATAACATAACATACTACGAAGCAGGAAAGATACCCAGAAAGAATGTAATTTTAAATTCATGGCCACATTACTAAATACTCTTTGTTTCAATGTGATCTAGATAGACGAGCATATCTAAGTTCCATAAATCAAAATTGTGAATGGCAGAAAACAAAACTTGTAAATTGCTAGAAATCAAACACTGCGCTACAATACAGGCTCCATCAAACGAAGAAGCACTTCAGGCTTCAGTGATTGGATACTCAAATACGACATCTTTCCCAGTAAGCTTCCTGTAAACTCCAGAAAAAGTTTCTAGCTTGTATTCAGTGTTATTGCGCTCTTTAGGGTCCAAGAATACCTGAAAGTTTAAGAATTAAGAAATGAATATTAGAAGATCATTATGACATAAAGAATTGAGAACAAAATATGTATTAAAAGGCACTCACCTTCATTATTTTTGATCCATCAACCCTATATCTGACTCGCTTGCCAACAATCTCAGCAGGATGCACAACATCCTCCAGCATGGCATCATGGACAGCTGTTAGGGTGCGGGTGCGAGGTCGTTGAACAGCAGAACCCTTCTTTGGTGGCCGCAAAATCCTTCTTGTAGCAATCACAACAACATCCTGCAATTTCTTATAATCTTCAGTAAACACTATTTGGTTATCCATGGAAACTTTCATCTGACCAGCCAACCATACGAGACATGGCAGACACAATACATTGAATGATAAACAACAGAAAAAAGCTTGACAGCACATGAATTCCTAAACAAGGTTTATCATTGTGGACAACAACCTTTCCACTGAATTTCTTTTCCAATTCTCTAACAAGTCTGAGATGAATCTTGCGGAATGCCTTCCTCAATCTGTAAGGGACATAGATAACAACAGCTTTGCGATTCCCAGCAACATCCATTTGACTGCATAACAAATTGTCCTCTAACGGTTTAATCTTGTTAATCGTGACAAAAAATTTGACAGGCATAAATGAGTATATCGATAGCTTACACTGCTTGATTAATGTAGAGATCCTTCAGGTCACTTTTCAGCTCCTGATTAGTGTTCTCCAAATCAAATAGGTACTGTACAGGCATCAGATTGCAAGGATTTAGAATATATCATAAAATAAGACTCTTCTGATAAGGCAGTGAGATGAACCTGTGCAACTGTCTCCTCAAATTCAGTGGGTTCAGCATCATTATCCTTGTGGATTTTCTTTCTTGAAGTGTACATTTTGGTCAATCTGTTTTATGACAAAACAGCCACCGATTTGTCATGTAAAATTATTTTCATGATTCTAAACTTGGTAAGAGAAACAGAATAAACTTAACAAACTGCTGCTATAAGTTACTGGACAATTCACATTGAGTTCCTCAAAGCTTCCGTATGAAAGAGTCAATCAAAGCATACACTATTCTGAATACTTCACAAAGAGTCAATAAAAAAGAATCACCCAACTCAAAACTTTCACCAACCAAGAATCAAAAGATAAATGCAAAATATGAGAAGTTTCAGCTCTATTCTTGAATACTAACAGAACATTACCAATTGTCCCTCCAAATGAAAACCAAACTACGAAAATCCGAAAAGAAAAACAACCATACAACAATCTCAAACTATCACTGATGAAGAATCAGAACGGTGAATATGAGATATGTGAAGTCGTTACTCTGTTCTAAATCCTTCCACAAAATTAAAAAAAAAATCGATTAAAAAAATACTTCAATCCGCAAATATTGAGGAGCAAGCGAAACGAACATAAATGTTCTCGAAATAAAAAGTCAAAACTTTACAACTATCAACAGATATTCTCAATGTCAATGCAAATCCACTCAAAACTAATACACGAGGGGCACATACAGAAAATAAGCAATTTTAGGGAGCATTTGCATTGGAGAATCTATGTGAGTTTGGATTTTAGAGAGAAGAAATGAATGAGCTGAAAAGTTGAATCTTTGAAATCGGAGGGCAACATCACCAGCACCGGAAAAATGAATGTAACAACGAAAAAGAGAGAAATGTTGAACGTACCAACAGATGAGCGTACGTTGAGTTCAGATCAACCTTAGCTTCAGATTTCGGCTTCCGGAGTGAGAGGAGGCACCGGAGAGCGTAACACAACGATTATATAGCAACTTCTAAAAAAGGCTTCGAGGTTGCCCTAACTTTTGACGGCTCGTATTTCTTTTATTCGTTTATTTATTGAAAAGAATTATTCGTGCATCGTATTTATTTAAATTTAATTTAAACTAAAAACTACACAGTTTGGGAATTTTCTTTTCCTAATGTTGTTTAAATTTAAATTTAATTGTTTATTAATTTTTTGCATAATTTTTTTTAAATTATAAGTTATTATTGAGCGAAAAAACTATAACCTTTACATATTTATTTTTTATATGGTTATCACATTTAATTAGATGTAAGTATTATTAGACATAATTATAAAAATTAAACGTAAATTTTTCAAAAACATTTTATGTACTTACATGAACTTAAATATTTATTTTTTTAACATTTAATTTATGTATATACATGCCAATATATGCATGTATGTGCACATATATAAAGTCGGTAATTTAGGCCAAACCCTGAACAGACTTGAAAAATTTTTGGTCAAACTTAAAAAAAGATATTTTTTTTATATTCTAGCTTATCTTAAGAGAATAAAGTCATTCTTGGTTCGAATACCTAAATAAAAAAATACTTATTTTTAAAAAATATATAAAGTATAATAAATATTAATCAAATCTTTAATTTTTAGGTCATTTTTTACTAAAATATCATATATTTGAATCTTATACATTGTTTAAGTATCAACAATATATATTTTACATTTTTATAAAATAAAATAAATAATTTTAAAAATAAATTTTGAGCATTCAAGCCACCCTAAATCTTAAAGAATCCAAGTTATCCTTATATATTCAAGCTTTTTAGAGAGTTGAGCTTATTTGGCCAAGCTTGAATAGGCTCGGTCACTTAAACTCCCAACTCTACTCATATATAGGTATATATATGTAATTTTTAATATGTGTACATACATGTATGTGTATTCTTTCTAATATATATATATATATATATATATATATATTTATTTATTTATTTATTTATTTATTTATTTGCGTGCGTGTGTGTGTTTCTACTTACCATGCATCATGTCGAACAATTGAAAAAAAAAATATTAAGTTTAGGGGAAATGTGATTACTCTATCAAAATCCACGTATTTATTTACACCAATACAAAATTCCCACCCCACCAATACACTCTCAAAGCCTTGATTAAAAAAAAAAAAGGAGAATTATAAAAACATAGACAAATGATTGGTCTTCAAGTTTTTTTTTATTACAAAAAAATCTAAGACATACCTATAGACTCAAATAACTTACATAGATGTTTATGTAGACCCTATTTGATCGGTGGTATTGAAATGTTGGGATTGAAATTGAGACCAGATTGGCCTACCAATACAATATTTGGTATAATAGAATGTTTGCCGCTCAGGATTGGTAAAACCCATTTAGGTGGAATTAGAGAAACCCATGGGGAGGTGATATTGAAAGTTTAATTTTGGGTTTGAAACTTTTCAGACCAAAATGCCTTCCTTTCTCATCAAGTTTTCACTGAACATTGCCTCTATCTCCTCCTCTCTCCCTTTGGTCACCTTCTCCTCCCTCTCCAATCTAGAGCACTGTGGGTGGGTTCTCATTGGAGATGAAAAGCAAAAACATTACCTTCTCTTCCCCCTCTCTCATCATGTTCTCCTACATTTGCAATCTAGTACATGGTGGGCTGCTACTCATCAAAGATGGCGAGCAGTAGTGTTCTTCAATCTAGATGTCGGGATGCATTATGGGATGACATTCAGCGATGGTGAGCACAGAGCGAGCATGCCAAAGAAAGAACACTGTTGCAGAGCTTGTTTTGACGCCTTCATCAAATCTAAAACTAGCTTTAAAGATGAAGGACTATGGCATATCTTTGTTTTTTTTAAATAATGGAATTAGGAAACACTTTCATCAAGAAAATATTACTGAGCTACAACTAGTACACAAAGCAAGGATGAAGGACCATGGCAAATTTGAAACTAGCCAAAGGACATTGGAGGGTTTTTTTTATCAGAGGATGCTTAATAGCCCATTTTTTTTACAAGGGTATCATAATCTTTTGCAATTATAATTATACATATTGAATAAAAATTATTTAAACATTCTCATCTCATACCAAACACGATTTTTGAAACTTATTCCCACTTCAAATCTTACTCCCAACTCCAATGCCAATCTCATTCCTAATCCCTTAAAATCTATCCTTTATACCAAACAAGTCATGTTGCCCGCCAATAAGATCTCTACGTTGATAATAAGATTTAAACATATGACCTCATGAGTTATAATCAAATCCCCACTACCTAAACTAACATTTGAAATGGAAGTTTTTGGGAAGTGGCCAATTTACCAGCTTTTTTAAAAAAAAAATCTCATTAACACACACTGGGTCAAAGATCGGGCAAATGGAGAACTATTGGGAAGAAGCAAGTGACTAGTTAAGTTGAACCAATAGCTACTTTGTTTCCACAAATGGGAAAAAAAAATCATTA